GTGGCTTCTGTGGCTTTCGTGGCTTCTGTGGCTTCTGTGGCTTCGTGGCTTTCGTGGCTTCTGTGGCTTTTGGCTTTTGTGGCTTTCGTGGCTTCTGTGGCTTCGTGGCTTTCGTGGCTTTCGTGGCTTCTGTGGCTTCTGTGGCTTTTGTGGCTTTCGTGGCTTCTGTGGCTTTTGTGGCTTTTGGCTTTCGTGGCTTCTGTGGCTTTTGTGGCTTTTGGCTTTTGTGGCTGTTTGCTACTAGTCCATCTTTGGAGGAATGTGATGTCCGAGGCGCAGCTACCAGATGTTTTCATCCAAACGATTCCTTTGTCCTTTGTTATGACACGCAAAACACAACATGTCTTTAATTAAGGTTTTCACTATGAAGGTGTCTAATGGCACATGACGACCTGCAAAAACCACAATGGTGGATGCTGACGGCCACTTCAACCTCGCCCAGCTTTCAACGTAGCTTCTTTCCGCACTATTCTCCATTTGTCGATATATCTGTCTACCTATCCATCTATTTGTCTATATCTATCTATCCGTCTATATCTATCTGTCTGTCTGTCTGTCTGTCTATCAGTCTGTTGTGTTGTGCTTTTCCTTTTATTCGCTTTGCAGAGAAGAACCCAAACAAGGAAGCAAGCAAGCAAGCAAGACAGCAAGCAAGCAAGCAAACAAGAGCTGCTCACCTTTGGATCTGGTGTGCTGCTGGGGGGGGCGCTGCGCCCCCCCCAACCCCCCCCGCGCCACGAAATCTGCACTTCATCTCCGCCACCCGCGCCTGCCACGAAACCTTTCTCTTTGCTTTTCTGCTAACTGCACCAAACTGTTGTGATAGTCTGACACCTACACTATTCCAATGCAAATCTGTCTACCTATCCATTTGTCTGTCTATATCTATTTATCTATCTCTCGATCTATCTATCTTTCTATCTTTCTTTCTATCTTTCTTTCTTTCCTATCTATCTATCTATCTGCACTTCAACATCCACAAAGTCCTTCACCTGCCACGAAATCGAAATCGGCACTTCAAGGCCCGCAAAGCACTGCACCTGCCACGAAATCTGCATTTCAAGGTCTACAAAGTCCTGCGCCTGCCACGAAATCTGCACTCCAAGTCCCACAAAGTCCTGCACCTGCCACCAAATCTGCACTTCAACATCCACAAAGTCCTGCGCCTGCCACGAAATCCGCACTTCAACATCGACAATTTCCTGCGCCTGCCACGAAATGTGCATTTCAAGGTCCACAAAGTAGCATTTCAAGGTCCACAAAGTACTGCCCCTGCCACGAAACACGAAAAACAAAAAAAGATCCCAAAACACAACAAAAAAAACCTAAATTAAATCCGAGCCCACAAGAAACTACTAGGAACAAGGACGCCGGACTCTTGGGCTCACCTTTCACAAATGTACGTCACGACCCCTGACTGCCCCCTGCTACACCCTGCTACCTGGCTCGTCAGACTTCACAAACTATGACCGGCGTTGTGACCCCGTGATACCCCGGCAAACAAACGAGAAAAGAGGGACTGACACCACCAGTGAGTGGATCTTCCATGAGTCCGCTTGTGGCCCGCACCGAGAGGAAGCTTGGAAACCAGGATCAAGCACTCATTCCTGCACCAACTATGAACCTCTGTGGTGGGACTCGTCCATTGAATTTTGGATGATTTTCGTAAGGATAAAATGAAGGGCTGAAGGTCTAAGGACATGGATCAGCACAGGTATTCTTGCTCAAGAATCGCCTCACACATTCAGTATGTACAAGTCGTTGTTGTTGGCTTGTTGTGGATCACATTCAAATGACACGCCCTGAAATGTGGACGGGACCGTTAGCTCACAAGAGGAAGTTGATTGAGGCGCATCATACTTCAGTCGTATACAGTATAACTGTGACATACTGAGTGGACTCTGTTTAATAGACACGAGATGATGCAGGACAAGTCATCTGCTCAAGAACCTTTATCAGCCTGCTTCTGCATCCGAGCCTGAGGCAAAATCAAATTTGGCAGCTGCATCAACCAAGCCATTATTCATGATGTGCTGTTCTGAAGTGCCATAGTGTGCGGCAAGCTCATGCGAAATAAATTGAAAAAGCTTCAGGCAAGTGTTCTAAGCAATGCGACAGCCGAGACATCTCAAATTCTCTAGTTGGAAAGCGGTTAGCAGCTTCAAACGTAGGCAATTTGCCGCATTCACAAAAATCCCAATGCAGGTGTCAGCATTTGTGCACTCTTGGAAAACTGCCCAATGGTCCCTTCCTGACAACCGCTGGATTTCCATCAAGTGTGGCCTGCGTGGCAGTCGCCAGCCAGAACCGTTCAGTGTGACTGAACCATCAGTCCACGTGTCAACATTTTGCAGATTCAACTTGTCAGAAAGTGGACTGAAAACATATTAAAACCAAATCGGTATATTTGAAAGCCGCAATCTTCTTCGTACAGAAATCAGTGTTCCACAACGCCGCCAAGCATAGCATATATACTGTACTGTATATATATATATATTATGTACAAAGAAATTCTGCCCTTGTTCATGATGCTCGGGCCCTTGTCACAAGGACTTTATAGAAACAAGAACACGATTGGACTCACTGAAGGTCCAGAGGAAGCCACCAAGCGATTCCAGCAGATCCAGGAGGCCTATTCTGCAAGTTCCTCAGAGGCGACTTTGTCACCTTTGCAAACCACTGAGACAGCATATATTCCACCTGCTGATGCTGAGGTTCTTTCGGATGTGCAGGACCTTCGCAATCACTTTTGCAGCATTGGATATTCCATTTTGCAACAGATCCATTTCTGTGATGTTTCCCCGCACTTGAAGGAAAGAGCTTGGTATGATGCTCATCGAGAGCAAATACTAAGAGGTGATGATGGGCCCGGCGAGGAGCCAAACAATCCGACTATACAAGACTCTGCTAGTGTTATCTTTGGGATCCTTAGGCATTCTGGCAATGTGAGTCAGGACCCTTTCAAAACTAAAATCAACCTCTACAAGTACTTTAGTCGGAGACCGAGTCTTTACGTGAAGTGTACCGTTGATGTGGAGGTGTAGTGAATCGTTGTGTGATGTTGTGTGTATATTACAAAAGCCAGCCGAAGGGCTTGGGCTGGAAGGTCTGCAGAGCGGAGCTATTCTACCGGATTTGGGGGTCCGAAATGGGCCCGGTTGGGCTGGGGATAATGAAGAAAAGGGGTGGCCAGTTGGGTGCTTTTGGGAGCAAGAAAGAAGCCTTCTGAAGGGATTTTTGGTAGTGTCTTTATGAGATGCGACAGTGCTGGCACGTGACGCCGTGGAAATCGCGTTGTTTAGTTTTTGTGCAAGCAACCGTGTAAATAGGTTTTTGTGTGCAAAAGTGGAAAACGCTGTGTTTTTGCAGTGTTTTGGGTCAATAGTGGCGGATGCAGATAAGAGTGCTTTTTGGATGATTTTGTGCTGGCGCTGGAAAAAGCTGTAACTTACGGACTTGCAGCGTTTTATCCTTTTGTGCTCATGAAGGATTGTGGGGGAACGCATGCATACAACTAAAAATAGTAATATTATAGATCTTCAGCTAAGGTGTATCCTGCTTCGATGGATTTGGAGATGATCCTTCCGGGTTCTTTGCGGTTTACCGTGAGCTCTTTGAGGTGAAGAACCGACTGCGTCCCCTTTCCAGGAAGTTCAAAGAAGTTTGCTGTTTCTTTAAAGAGGGTCGTTGATAGCTGAACATGCAACTGGCACATAATAGCATCATGGCATCATGCTTACTGCTTTTGCGAGGCAATTGATGCTGAAGAAGAGCAGTGGGAGGTAGGGGGCTAGCGGCTAGAATAGTTTTGAAGCGCGCCTCTTGAACAGATCTGAAGGGTTCAGGGTTCGAATGTTAATTGCGCGTGCCTGTTCATGTTGGTTGGTGATGCCAGGATGCTGATGAAGATCATGTTGCAATGCCACCGTTTGGGGGACCAGATGCAGATTGGGCAGACGTGTCAGCCTTCTACAGGTGCGGCGACCATTGCAAATTAGGTTATTTGGATTCCGTTTTTTCACTTATATAACTCCATTTGTAAAGTAAGCAGGCATTGGCTTGAGTTCTGCTCCAGAAAGGTGCGATGAATCACCGCGTTCCAACCATTCCATATGTTCAGCGATTCGCCACATGACTCAGATGACAAGGCATTTGGGCATGCGGATCAGCCCAGACCTGACAATAAATTTACTGTATGAGATTTTATTAGTGCTGCATTTGAAGCCCGGAGGTTGTTTTGTTCAGCAACCAGCAAGTCAGCAAGTCAACCTGCAATACGAAGTGCAAGCTTGCTCAGGTGGAATCCGAAGGAGGCTCAGAATCGTCAAGTTCGAAGAGCCATGGAGCAGGAGAAAATCATAGCCAGGTAGTGTGTGGCATTTGCTTTGCACTCACTTGGTTTGCTCAGAACACTTGCAGTCTCAATATGTGTGTAATTTTCAGGAAAATAAAAAAGCCAGACAGGCAAGTTACATACTGCATTTGCACTGCAAGACATTCGCACGATTTGAAACGGAAGGCTGCAAAAAAGGAATTCAATGCAGAAGTCCGCCAACTTGTCAAGTCGCCGGGCTACACCATGTGCAGTAGGGAGTGAACATCGCTCACATGGCCAGCAGAAAATGTTTCTACTCTACAGGTGGTGAGGGTTGTCACACCTTAGTGCAGTCCAAGGTTTGTTCAAAAGCGGGACCCTCGAGTTCTCGCACGCCAGAAGCAGCAGATGAAGGACCCACAGCATCACAATCTTCCACGGGTGCGAGGCCACTTGTTTCACTTGTTGGTTTGGCGTGGTTCAGAGCACCAGGAAAATATCGAGAAGAACCAGAGGGATCGAGCGCAAAAGGAAAAGCAAAAAGCTGATCAGGACAGCGTGGGCAAGATGAGCAGACTAATTTTTCAGGACAAACTGTACTCTTCTCACCCCTCCTCCCTCCTTCTCTCTCTCCTCCTCCTCCTTCCCACTCCCCCTCTCCCTTTTGCTCTTTCTCCTTTCACTCCTCCCTCCTCCTCCTGCTCTTCTGCCTCTCCCTCTTCTCCGTCCTCTCTCTCCTCATCCCTCTCTTCGCCTTCATATCCTGCTCCTCTTCCTGTCCTCTTCTCCCTGTATCCCCTCTTCCTCTTCTCTTCTTCTCCTCTTCCCTGTTCTTTTATTCTTGTTCTTTTTCATCTCTTTTCTCTCTGTATCTCTTTTTCCCTCTTTTGTGCGTTCCATCCTTTTTATTCTTTTTGTTGTTATGGTTCCACCAAAAATCACTGTTGCAGGTCACATGATGTTCTTTAATTCTTTGGCGGTTCACTTGAAACACTGTGTTTTCATGTTTAAATTGGGCTCAAAGGCGCGGACATGTCCGAAACGCTGTCGCTGTGCTCTTCTTGCGCTTCAGGAAAGCTCTGGAAAGCTTGTGAAACAAAGGTTTTATGCAATAAAGCTTGCCATGCACGTGATTAGAGGAATGCTCTTAAAGACCTAAAGTGAGAGCTTTTATACAAAGCTTTTAATACAACAACAAACAAACCTAACTAGACTTTAATGCACGCCTCTGGGTACAGCTGGTGTGAACGCCGATGTCATAATATGTCCACATAGGTAGCACAATGCCACACTGCATTCTTTACTAGTTAAGCCATTATGAGCCATTATGTATTGATTCCCCAATAGCGATAGCTTGGGGTTGTACACTCTTTAGGCGGCTGGGCGCCGTCGGATCCACGGCCCCCAGCCTGGGCGGTGGTGTCCCGGTGTCTCGGTCGTGTTTAGGTGTTGTGTCGGTATGTTTTGGTGGCGTGCCGGTCAGGTGGTATCTCGTTCATGTCTCTCTGGTATCTCGTTTTTGTATAGGTGGTCATGTTTCTGTGGTGCCTCTGTGATGTTTAGGTGTTGTCTGGGTCATGTTTTGGTATCTCGCTCATGCTTAATCATGCTTAGGTGGTGTCTCCGTCATGTTTAGGTGATGTCTCGGTCACGTTACATGGTGTCTCGGTCATGTTGAGGTGGTATTTGGAAAAAAAAATTGGTGGTGTCTTGGTCATGTCTACGTGGTGTCTCGGTCATGTTTCTGCGGTGTCTCAGTCATGTTTTGGTGTCTCGGTAATGTTTCGGCGGCGCTTTGCTCATGTAGTGCGCCGGCTATGTTTTCGCAATGTTTTTTCTGTTTTGCTGTTTTGGTGGCGTATTGGTTCTGTTTTCACGGTGGTTCGCTGATATTTGGCGGTGTCTCGCTTTTCGGTCTCAGTCTTTGCACGTGTGTGAACTTTGCGCTTGCGTGTCCATGCACCTGGTGCACATTGCCCGTGGGCGCTTCATTCAAATTTGTTTCTTCTCTGGTGCCAGAACTTATTTTATGGTCTCTCTGAAAACTGCGTTCGTTGTACCTTTCGTGTACAAGCGTAACTATAATTACGTTCGTCTGCAATTGCACTCTTTGTATGTTTTAGTGATAATACTATCTTGTTGTCCCCTGAAAAGCTTTTATACCTCACATTCCTTGTGCGAATCGAACTTGCACGCATATGTGAGAAATGTTTGTATACAGTATTTGCATGCACCCACCTCTCCTTGGTGCGGTTTTTGTTTTTACCGTGTAGAATGATAAATGGTTCTTCACAACTATACACCATGAACAAAGACTTGAGCACTTGAACATACAATTCAGCCATCGGCGAACATTTCTTAAGTCCTTCGTGGTCTATGGAACATACTAACTTGGATATTTAGTTATTTGCGTATTTGTGTGTACAAACTATAGGATCTCATTTCGTTTTTTGTGTGTTTAAAGAAATGTCCTCGAAATTTGATGTGTGAAAGAACAACGTAACGAACAGCGCACGCAGAAAAAAGGTGTTAAATCTTGGTGGATGCTTTGCTATTGGGGTTGTCAGCTGGGTTAATTCATTTATTCTAGTTGCATGGTTCTTTCCGACAGAAATCTACCATTAAGTCTACCATGCATAGGCAGATGAAGTGGAAGTGGCCAGCAGATCCAGAAAAATATAATGCAATCAAAGGGTTCAAACAATATCAGAGACCGCCTCGGCTTTATCTCGACTGGCCTCACAGAAGAAACTGCACGACGTTCTCCCAGAGTACACTACAATGACAACTTACTGATATTGACTGACATACTGATTGCTAGATTGCCCACGACTCCATTTCGGCACTGAACACGCTTCTCCTTGCTCTCGTACCTTCCTCTTGTTCTCATCTCCGCACTTGTGAAAAGGTGAAGGAGAGGGAAGAGCGCAAAGTTGCTGCCAGGCAAGCCGAAGAGGCTCACTGCCAGCAGAGACAGACTTTGGACTTTAGACTGAGAACAATAAGATTTCTTGCCAATACTTGTCTTAGCCTGCAAGTTGAAGGGGTTGCAGGACCTCATGCATGTGAAGAACACAAAGCTCATCAAACACATCAAAGCACTTGGCAACAGAACGGTTTGCATGGTTTTGTGCTCTCGTACCCCGCCTGTCTCGAGGAAAGATGGGCAGAAACGAAAGCACGAAAGGAGGCACGGGAGCACATCCAACACACCAATGACAAACCGCTTGCTTGCCAGTTTTCCAGGAGCAAAGAGCTCGTGGGGAAGTTGTGAGTGAGGATCACTTTGTTAAGATGCTTTGGATTCGTTCATCAGGAAGACAAAGAACAGTACAGGCACATACTCACTTGTGTGTCGGCACCACACCAGGAAGAAGATGACAGTGAGGACAGAGACACCGACGCAAGACTTGTCCTAGCAGTGGCCGTGGGTGCCTCTGTATTTTTATGTACTTTGAGACGCATCCAGTATATGATATGCAAGCCGCTGCAAGCCGATGCTTCTGATGGATCATTGCTGCATTTTGTTGCACCTTTGGTCTCACCAGAGCTTTCCAGGAGGAGCAGGCACGGACGGTTCTCGACAGTTGAGCAAGTTTTTATCCCATGGAGCAGTGCAGAGCAATGCGTATCCCAAGGTGGAATACTGTTGTGAACCTTGTCGCAAGACGTTCAAATCCGAGAAGGTGCAAACACCCAGCAGAATTGAATTGAGTAAGGCGTTTTGTTGTTTCAGAATTGCCGCATTGCCCAAGTCTTTTTGGTGCCTTCCCTTCTGTCAGCCCAGCCCCTTTCAGGCCTTTGACCAACACGCGAAAAGCAAGAAGCATTTACAGGCAGAGGGCCAAGATGAGCCAAGAATACTGTCATTGGTGTTTCTTCATTGTTTCCGCATGGTTCCATGCTGTTCGATATACGTTTGTGCTTGATTATTGATTATGCGACGATTCTACGTTTCACAGGTTGTTGCCAAGTTTCGGAAGGAGTTAGACGAAGAGATGGAGGCACTGCAATTGATACATTACAGCCATGCTGAAACTGATCTATGTCCGACCGGCTTGAATCGGGAAACCAAGGAAGAAGCAAAGAACGAGGATCGATCAGAGGAAAGTGAAGACAGTCTAGGTACGTGTTTGAAGCATTCTGGAGCTCTATATTTCTACCTAGTATATCCTAGTATCATATCGCAATTATATCGCACAAACATCCGTTTGCTCTACCAGGTCATGCGGAACAGTTCAAACCTGTTGAGAAGGCTTCAGAAGGGCGAAAAGAACCAACACCTGAGGAGCCGCGAAGCAGAATCAGCGGAACTCAAATCAAAGTAGGATGCTGCCACACTAATAAAAGTTTGAGATATCCTCGGAGTCGTAAAGGTGTTCTTGGATGGTTTTGGTGCCTTTTACCACTTCTGGTTCACCTGAGAGGCAAAGACTGAGGAGGGCAACTCATCAAATGAGAGCAACAGTGAAAGTGATGAGGACTCATGACCGATTGAAATGTTCACACGACGTGGAACAAGCTCTGTAGTTTCATCAGATTCATAAGCTAGATCGGTTGAATCCAATTGATATTTTGCCTGCCTTACGACATCGGCAGTTTGTAGAGCTTGCACTCGGCAATGCTGTACGGGTAGGGTTTTGAGGGTGAGGGGATTGTTTACGATCTCATTTTACTCATTTTACCATAGTGCTAAAACACCATGGTATTTGCATGCTTTTCTTTACTTGTATACCTTGTCTTTTTGGAACCACCATTGCCTGCCATTACAGTTGGGCAGTGTTAGTGCAGGATGACTTTTTGCTTCGCTTTGCAGCTCAAAAGAGCAAAAGCGCTGGACGAGGTGCATACTAGGTTGTATTCGTTCACCAATACGCTGTTTTTGCACGTAGAAAGGGTTCAGGTCTTGGCTCTGGGTTCAAAATATATCAAAGTGGTCCTTGAAATTCCATAAACGAGTTTGCTAAAACAAGAACGCTTACTGTTCCTTTTTATCGGCTTTCGAGTCTTGGGTGTACATTCCGTGCATGTCATTGAGGCTATCCTGCAGCTTCCCCTCCAGCTACAGAGGCACATACTGGCTTGTCATGTGATGCTAGTGTGCCCATGGTGTGTTGATGCCTGAAATGCTTTCTGGTGATGATTGAACATGCTTCTGAGCAAGGGAAATCATGCATTGGGAAAGAGTTTAGTATTCTGGGAACGGATGTGAGTTATGCTGTGCCCGTGGTTTGATTACTGTATATAAGAATTAATGTAACTTCTGTGATAAGTTACATGCCTTTGTGGAATCCCTTTGATCAAGGGCTTGATGTGCCTAACAGCACTTGCTCGTAGCACGCTTTGTTTGAACGCGTTGCGATGACATCCAAGACCCAAGACAATCACAGCGTTGCAATCAATCTGATCCAGAAATCAAGTGCCTTGCTTCATTTGGCTTGGCAAGATGGTGAAGACTTTCTGCAGGAAGATCGAGGTGGTGATGGTACAGATGGCGAAGATGGTGAAGATGCGGATGCGAGGGAAGAAGAGCCCGTCAATGACGTTCGTAGTCGTAGGCACGGTCTTCCCTACAAAGCCGCTTCCCTGGATGTTTGTTGAGACTTTGTTTGTTTAGGCAACAAGCGTAAGAAATTGATGAAGAAGATTGCATTATTGAAACAACTTAAATCTGAAAGATTCAGGGCGCAGAAGAGGCAGCAGCAAACGGCTGCAGCTTCACAGCGTAGACAGGCGAAGAAGCTGGGTTTGGATGTCCAACTTCCATGACAGTGTTTAGTGTTCCTTGAAGGTGCCAGCATAAAACATTGACCATGCAGCACAACCCTTGTAGACATGAGTCAGAGACAAAACTATCCTAATGTAGTTTTAACTGGGGTGTTGCACGCAGCTAGTGACAGGTTCTTCTTTTTAAATAATGTGATATGTGTTCCTCGAAAAACGATAGGGGACGTCGGGGACGTCCTAAAAAACGATACCTCTAAGACTAAGACTTGCATTGTGTTGTCACAGCTTTTCTTGGTTCATGTCACGAATAATTTGGATTTAAGTCACCTCCCGGCATGTTGTCCTTCTAAATGAACAACTGGCACAAAGCTCAGTAAAGTTGTGTTGAAACAAGTAGATACGTAGATGAAGCAACGATATGACTCCAATGGCTTTTCAGGAGCGAGAGAATGTGCAAGACCTTGCTGGGGTCTTGGCTTGGAAAATGCGGAATAAAATGTCGTTTATGCAATCAGGTATGAGATGGTATAAGTATAGCTACACATGTGTTGCATTGTGTTGCAGACAACATGGACCATGAACTTCAGCTATCCCTCCAGCGTGGAGTGTGGAGTTGTTCCTTTTGCGCTTGACGTCACTTCAGCTCGCTCTTGGTCAATCCCTTTGCATGCCTTGATCAAGAGTTGATCTCTGTCCAGCAGCTACTCGGCTCAATGTTAGCCTTGGCCAGCGACACGCCGCCATGCCAGTAGCAGATATTGAATACAAAGAATACTTCACCGGAGAGAAGATTCAGGATCTCAAAGAGACCTTTGAAAGCTTTGACAGTTCCGGAGATGGACGCATTGGTGCGGATGAATTGTATGGTATGTTCAAGAAACTTGGCAAGAATTTGACTCGATCACAGATTCGTGAAGTGATGCGGGAGGTTGACGCAGACGGAAGTGGAGAAATAGAGTTTGAGGAACTCTGCATTCTAGAGATCAAGATGGCCCGTTTGCGGCCGAGAGCAGACCTTATCGATTACATAGACTATTTGAGTCCAAAGACCATCCAGAAGCTGGAAGACATGTTCGACAGACTCGATCCTGAATGCCACGGGCGGGTTTCTGTTTTTGACATGAAAGGCCTTTTGGATGCACAAGGCTGCAAAGGAACAGAGGATGAGGTTGATGAGATCATTGGGGAGGTGAGCAAATCCGGAGAGCTGGACTTTTCCAGTTTCGCTGCTGCCTGGGCCATTATCAACAAGCATCGTAAACGGATCAACTACCGGGAGTTCCTGGACAAGGATGAAGTGGAGGAACTGAAAACTTTATTCGATGATGCGACCTTTGGCACAGGTTACATGGCAGTGAATGAACTTGACCACCTGTTCAGGAGATTAGGTTTTGCCATGAAAACAAAGCAATTGCGGGGTTTGCTTCGAGACTTTGATTGCGATGGCAGTGGAGAGATTGACTTCGAAGAGTTTTGCGTCATGATGCTACGCTTGAAATGCTCCAAGCCGATGCGGTTCATTTCCCCAGAAACGGACGACTGTCGAAAACTATGGGAGGAGGAAGATTTTAGTGCTAAAGAGCTTCAACGATCCGGATTTCAAATTGCCCACATGAAACAAGCAGGAATTCCCGTCCGAGAAATCCTTACAGCTGATGTTTCTGCACTTGAGATGCGAAGATGTGGATTTTCAGCAGTGGACTTGCGGAAGGTGGGATGGGGATGGATGGGGGATGGGCTCCTATGCCACTCTTCAAGAGCTTATACAAAGTCTTCTTCTACGGTACTATAGATTTCTGGAAGTGCCATTTCTCCCCTTCTCTACCACAAAACTCAGATTTTCCGGGAGTTGCAGTGTTCAACCGTTTCATTAGAGAGCCACAGAGCCACCTTCACATTCTCAATTGTTATGTTGTTAAATTGAACCCCAGACATTGTGGATGCAGGCCGGAATGGGTGCAAACGAGCTTCGAGCAGCTGGCTTCAGCTTGGCCGAGCTTCGCTTGGCCGGGTTCTCTCATGCAGTCTTGATGCAAACAAATAAAGTATTGCGCTCATACTTTTGCAAAGGCAATCTCTCCATTCTTCCGCAGCTGAACCCAAAATGTGATCCAAAAAGAATGAAGACTTCTCCTTTGTTGCAGCTTTGGTCCGGAGACTGTGCTCAAGTTCCCAAGCAAATGACTCCAAGAATTCGAGAGCACACAGACTACATTCCCAGATCCAAAGCTTTGAGACCACAGTCATCCTGTGTCTCAGCTATGAAGTCCTGGGATTTGGAGCCCTTGGGGCGTCCAATGACAGCAGCCTGATCCCACAGAAATGGAATGTCGTTGAACGATTGATTGAAGGATTGGAGCACATTTAAGATTAAACACAATGAACGCTTTGGATTGCCTGCTCCAACTGAAAGCAGGCCTGGGGCTGAGGCTGGCGAGCCTGCCGAGGCCCTTTTTCTGTGTATGCATACTAGTCTCACCTTGCAGAGCCGAATCTCTGCTTCACCCCCGAAACATGCGCAAAGCGCTTAACTCTCGAAGTTTCACGCAGAAAAGTGCAGCACACCAAGTTGTCACTGATCATGCATGTGATATGATACACAAACACCTACAAGTCTATTGTCATCCTGCTGGTCTAGTCTAGTTATGTCTAGTTGATAGTGCAAGCACGCAATCATTCTTCTTGGCTGCTGGTGAGACCAAGGTCAACGGTGTCAAAAAGGCACAGAGGGCAAGCAAGCAGGAGGCATGCCGAATTTGTCGTTTGCTTGGGTCACTGCAGAAGTTTTCTTTGCTTGAAACCAGGAACCTAATGTATGCTGTGCAAGTTCTCGTGTTCCCGTGCAAGGCGAAAGCCACTGATTTGACTGGACCAATCCCAGAGGCGTCATGGAAATAGTCCTGATGGCAGGAAATATAGCATAATGTTCGATATAGCAATGACTTGAAACTTGAAACACACTACGTAACATTATTCTGTATGATTTGGACCTTGAAAGGGTGTTGGCCGCAGTCCTGTTCACATTGACATGTTATTGAGGTGAGTGAGTCACCAAAGCAAGGAGTATCAAAAACAAAAAGGAGCGGGCTCAAACAAATAAATCCCCTCGTCTGCTGGTTACTGGTCCCCTAGTGCCCTAGTCCGCCTGGTCCCTTGGTCTCCAGGTTTGCCGGTCTCCTGTTTTGGTCCCTTGCTCCACTGGCTTGGTGGTCTGGTGGTCTTCTTCTTTGATCCTCTTCTCCTTCCGATTCTCATTCCAACTTCTCGGTCTCTTGCTCCTTTATTGTAGTCGAGTCCAGTGGTACTGTTGATGGGCAAAATCCTGCACCAGTAGACGAACACACTCATGTATACCCTCGCGCTCCCTCTTTAACATTGAGTTGAGGAATTGCCTGAAACAGAAAAAAAGTTTAATGACCAAAATCCTGCATCACACAAAGCAAACATTGAGACAACATTGAGTTGGGGGGGCACGGGGGTCGTTACTATTGGAGGACCTCATGTGTTGCTTTATCGATGCAGGATTTCGTCCATCAACCGTCTGGCAAAAGCCATGTGTCTGCATCTGTCAATCAAAACAACATGCGCAAGCATAATTGCCAAACACACACCGATATGCAACTGTGTACGATTGCTGCCGTGGAATCGCGCGGGCTTAGTTTTTGCAACCGTGTGCGTGTTGGCTGTAGGCCCGTAAGCAGTCTGAACTAATAAACCGCCCGCGCTTAAATCCTTGGCCCAGAAATCACAGTGCACGCTCAGTGCACGCCCAGTGCACGCTCAGTGCACGGCCCCAGTGCACGGCCCCAAAACCATGAAAATTAGCAGCAAATCGCCGCTG